TAGAACCCCTTTCCCAGACACGTACACCTACCAGCCCTCCATTCTTATGGGCTCTGTCTCTCAGATTGAAATAATAAACGCTTACCTGTCTTCTTGCCTCCACAGAAACTTTGGGTGAGCCTAAAGATCTGACCCAGGGCAGTGAACACTGTGTGGGAGGAGGGCAGCTGAAGGCTGTGATAAAGGTCCGTGACTCTGTGACCTCACCTCCTTCAGAACTGCAATTTTCATGTCACAATCAATGATGATGACAGCGCTGGCTTTGGGAGTCAAGAACTTATCCTTAACTTTGTTCCAGATGCTAATTCTCCAGGCCACTTACAACTTTATTGTGAGCATCTCCAAAGAGACAAAGTGCTTTAGAAAGGCTCTGACAGTTTATGATTCTTGAGGGATGAGTATGATGCAACATACAGGGAACAACCCCTTCTCAACAAGGTCTCTAACATGGGAGTCTTGCAAAGACTCCTCAGAGAGTGTCTCCTCAGAGCTCAGCCTTCTTTGGGATCTTCTACCCATAATGGAGTTAATTATTAGTTTCTGGATGTCAGTCTGGCCCCACTATGAAGAACAAGTTCGGTGATCAATTCAAGAATATCCAGTGAAGTACTAGTCCACGGGAGAACATTTCACAACATATACTAGAAAACAATGCACTTTTTGTACAACTGGACAAGCATTAAGTGAAAAACATGACTGTGAAACACAGTAGATGATGCTACAGATCTCAGGTGAGTAAATATAGAAAGTCTGAATTCAACTCTATTTGTATTATAATTTATCTAGGTTCCCATCCCCAGACCATGTGGAAGAGAGCTATGAGGCAATCAAAGCAGCCAAGCACAGTTTGCTGATCAGCTGTGGGCAGAGTCCTTAGAAGGATTTTTGGGAAAGTTTCTACCATGGCTGCAAGTTAAACAGTTGTGATAAGGACGATGCATCCTGAGGGAACTTTGTGGTTCCAGGAGTAGCCATAATAATGGCAGTGTGCTTTGAAATGAAGTTTCTCAAGGTGCCTTGTGGTGCTGAAAGCATCAAGCATACCCTAATGAGAATCATAGGTCAACAAGGGCTGTTTGGTTGTCAGCTCCTCACAGCGTGGGCACAAGGCAACGGTCTGACAGCGATCAGTCAATCAGTCAAATTCCTTAGCAGGGTAGCTTTGTTGAAGGAAAACTAACACCAAAGGTCTCTACCATAATGATTTCCCAATAACATTAACCTTTGTAACATTATTTAATATTGCTGAATTCTTCATCAAAAACCTTAGAAAGAGTTGGCTCCCTGAGATCTTTCCCTATTTCTTCCGTATCCAAACGATATGTGTTTTAACGTGATGTTTGTGGTTGTGGTTTCCTGCATCTACTGTCTTCACAAATCTCAGTACCCTCGTCCTTATATTCCTTATTGGTTTTACCTTTGTCCTCTTAATGTGGCATTGCACGTTAACCCCTCTGCAGCATGTAATCTTTCTTCTTCTTTTTTTTTTTTTTATCTTTTTGAGCTGTAGCCCCAGCTGTCCTGGAAATCACTATGTAGACCAGGCTGGTCTTGAACTCACAGAGATCTGCCTGCCTCTGCCTCCTGGGTGCTGGGATTAAAGGCGTGAGCCACCACTTTCTTTTATCTTCTGTCTTGCACTCTACTTAATGGCCCATGCTCTCCCACTAGCACCTCATGTGTACTGTGCCCCTTTTCTTTGAGCCCCCTTCTCACTCTGACCTGTCACACAATATCCATTGTCACTGCCTTACACCTGTGTTAAATAATTGCCAATGGTTTTATAGTTACTCTTCAAGAATTCAATACATGTATACAATGTATTTCATTCATGTCAACCCCCCAGGCCTCCTCTCATGTCTGCCAGAGTATCCTGGCCAAATGTCTGTCCTCTTCCCAGAGTCCTCTGAGCTCAACCAGTGCTGTCTGCATGTGCGTAGGGGTAGGGCCATCTGCTGGAGGATGGGTCATCTATCTGGGCACACGTGCCTGAAGACAACTGACTCTCCATATTCCAGCAGCCTTCAGTTCCCAAAGCCCCTCAACTTGGGTGCAAAGAGTTTTGAGCCCGTCCTTCCTCTAAGCTAGAATGTTCAATGGCTTGACTTTGTGTAGTCTTGTGAAAGCAACCACAGATGCTGTGAGTTGCAATGACTCTGTTGTATCATGAAGACAGAGCTTCACAGCAGTACCCCCTACTCTGGGTTTTACAATCTTCCCACCCTCGCCTCCACAATGTCTCCTCAGCAATTTTGGGAGGAGCGTGACATATACCATTTATGGCTGAGTACGCCACAATGACTCACTCTCTGCACGACGATCCTCTGTGAGTTTGTGTATTAATCACATTCAAATGTGAAAAGAAGCTTCTCTGATGGGCACTGAGAAATCCACTTATCTATGGACACAGAGATATGTATTTACAAGGCAGTGTGATACTGTCCATTTAACAACTAAGAGTAGCAGTTTCTCTGCCAGGGTCTATGACCTCATAGACACAGGTTCTTGGACAGATACACAGTATGAGGCACGAGTCCCCTCCTGTGAATTGGGTAGAAAATTCAGTAAGAACCACAATACATATTTGTTAAATGATGGCCATGTCTTTCCAGGTCAGTCTTTATGGGAGCTATCAGGGTTCACAGCTGGGTAAGACTGTTGACCTCTGTCCCTCAGCAACTTGTAAAGTATATTCTGGTACTATTACAGATAACCAGTAGGAATGAAGCTTACCAGGCAGTACCCACTAATTTCTGCATGTTCTGTGAATTAAGTGTGTGAAGTCTTCAGCAATAGTCTTGGCATTAAGTCATAATGAGTTCTAAAAGCAGCGGCAATACACTGGGATCTACAGGCCATCCCTGATCAGCAACTCAAATATGGTTATCTGACACCTGGCACTGGGTTCTTTTTGTTTGTTTCATGCACTGTAGATCAGGGAAAAGCATTATCACCCTGTATAGGGTAGCTACATTTAAACTACATATAACTACATTTAAATATCTATTTTCATTTGTACCCATGTTCATTTGTGTGTGCCACATGTGTTCATGAGCATGCAGAGGCCAAAATTTGGTGTCGGACACCCTGCACCTGGACTTACAGGTGTACTTTCTGAACCACCTGACCTTGGTATTGAGAATAAAACTCAGGTACTCTGTCACTCCTACTGCTGAGCAAAATCTTCAGCCTTAACTCTGTGTGTGTGTGTGTGCATGCTTTTAAAATAGATTATATTTATGTATATGCTTCTAAAATAGTATGTATATACATATATGTGTGTATGTGTGTTTGTGTGTATGATTCTAAAATGGTTAGTTTGATTTCCAAATGGACTTTTCAAACCTCAGTAGTATTGTTTCTCCATCCCCTGGAGACGTCTCTGCCCAACCCTTCCTAATGATTTTAAGAACCCTGTAAGCAGGTTTATTCATTCGTTCGTTTTTATTCATGTGCATGTGTGTGTGCCTGAGTACACTTATGTGCACCACAATTGTATCTGGTTCCTATAAAGGCCAGAAGAGGCTAGACTTGGAATTTACAGGCATTTGTGAACTATGCAACATAGGTACAAAGAAATGAACCGCTGTCCTCTGCAAGAACAGTAAGCAACGTTAACCACTGCACCACATCTTCAAATCCCTAGTAGAAGTGTTTATACCGATCAAGTTCTGAGCAGATAAAAGAGACAGCTTGTGAAAATTGAAACTTCAGTAGGCCACCAGACAAGCTGAAGCTTTCTCTGTGATTATTTGAGGGTCTTTAAGGTCATTCCTCAGATGGTGGGTACTGATTTGCGACGGTCTCTCTTGTCTCAAAAACTTTGCTTTTGTGGACTCCTCAGAGCTCAAGAGGCACAGAAGAGATTAGCATAGGTAACACAGCACAGATTTGTCTGTGGTTACAGGTGTGAAATTAATTGGCTGCTTTACTACAGGAACTCACTGGGCTCTAGCCATATCCTAAACCTAGGCCCATGGAGTATAAGACAGTCTACGCTGTTACAGAGTTTGGGACCACCAGGGAAGACTACCAGACTCAAAAAGTTCCAAATCAGCCAAATTGATTTTTTACAGTTTTATTAAAATTTTAAAGAAAAAGAAATCCTCAGGGCAGGCGAGCTGGCACTCTTGGCAGCTGCCTTGAGGAGGTGAATGGTGGGAAGAAAGAAAGAAAGCCATGAAGCCCTGCAGGTTTACAACCTGCATGGAGGTCAGACACATGGCTCACTGGCAGCCACATGGGTGGGAGAAAGAAGATTTAGAGAAAAGGTGAAGAAATACAAGATGCTGGGGGCAGCCCAAAGCCTTAAGGAAAGCATGTTTAGAAAGGAAAACATGAAGAAAAGGAGAAATTATGCTTCCCTGATGAACTCAGGGCAGCGAACAAACAACAAACTACATGGCTGTGGCTGGTCCGCAAGTTCTGTGCCCATAGGCGGGATTCTAGTCAGGAAAAACTCACTATCTAATTAAAGCACTAGGTATTCTGCCCATCTACTTAGCATAACCCGCCTTCCCAGGGGTGGTCCTGTGACCAAATGATTGACCAGTTAAACTTACATAAAACAGAGGGACTTGGCATTACATAGCAACCATGTGTATCCTTTTCATTTATTAATGATTTCAGATACCAGTTGTCAAATGGATAACTCAGTCCTTTCATTTTGTCTCCAGTTGCTAGTGTTAATTTCATACAAGCCTGACTTATGTATTTTCTCATATGTAGAGATGTTTGCATAGGAGAAAGCTTAGTATATTTAGGGTTGCAATGAATCCATTGTTTAGGCACCAAGGTGGACCTCGTCACTTGTTCCTTCTGGATAAGGAAGTTCTACTGAATTTCCTCCGGCTGTTCACTCTCACAGATCCCATCCCCTCAGGGCCACCTTCCTCACACTTCTCTGTTCGGGGCCTCCTTCGGTCCTGTGCATTTTCTTATCCCTTAAAAGCGATTCTTTCCAATACAACTACTCTGTACATGAAATAGCTATAGGCTCGTTAATTCAACGTTTGAACATGTTTCTTCCAGCATTTGTTACTTTCAATTGTCCTCTGAGTCAGACAGAGGCATCCTGCTGAGCTCAGTTTTGCCCATTTACCAAAATGATCACAGCTGGTCTTGCTGAATATTTGTGCCTCTGCAAAGAAGGGGCAGGGAGAGTCACAGGTACAAACACGAGTATCCAGCCACACTTCCCGACCCGTAGGGGGAAATCCAGCCCTAATTTCAAGAAGCCCGGGGAAAGGCTGGAGTACATATAAAACAGCAATGCAGCCTTGTAACATGGCAGAGAGGGTATAAAAAGTTAGAAAGCTGGCCACCAGGAGCAGGATGTTCTGTGTGGCTCTAGACTTAGGGGAAGTTTTATGTAAAACGTGAGAGCTGAGGATGTGTTGAGCCTGTTGCTTGTGTCTGTACAGAATGATAATCATGGAGCTGCTGGACCAGATGATGATCATGGAAAACACAATTTCAGGGAACACCACTAATGTTGCACAGACAGAATCTATAACTTTATCATGACCTACGTTGGAGCAGTAGTTAAAATTTCTTTTGTCTGTCATGTTTCTGTGACTCCCCTTGGTATATATATACAGAGGGAACGTCATGTTGATCCTGCTATATAGGAGCCAGCAGAGGGAAATGGAGAGGCTGACATACTTTATACCTTTGACTTTAAGACCCTTCCAACAGGAGTTCCTGGGGCTGATGGTGATGGCCTGGACAACATTCAAGAGGCAGGTGGTGCGAATGGACACGCTCCTGCCAACTCTGTCAACAAACAAAAGAAGTTTGCACACAAAATTATTGAAGAACCATTTCATCCCAAAAGCTGTCATTGTGTGGGGCACTCCTCTAGAAATAATGATCAAGGAGTTGGCTATGAACAACTGTGTAAGAATCAAATCCGTGGGCTTTAATATGCATTCATTGTAGAAAAGGTCTAGATAGTAAGAGAGAAGAGAAAAATTTCCCAGAATTCCCATTGTTGTCTGTGATAAGAAGAGGTTTCCTACTGCCAAATGCATGGAGTCTGTTCTGTCACTCCGCACATTTTCCTTTAAGATACAGCAATAATCACCTCTCTGAGTAAAATGATGAACAGAAGTGTTTTAGTTTATGATAATGCTGTGGGAGAATATTTTGAGATCAAGATTTAAAAGCCAGTGTGAACCAAATTGGAAGACCCACTCAAAAAATTTTAACTCAGTGTAAAGCACTAGAGAGAGAGCAAACATTTTTCACTGCTTGTATTTACATAGCTAATCCCCAGGACATTTCTTAGAAGAGGCAGTTTAAGAAAAAGGCAGTGTTATTCTGTGATAAACAGTAACCACAGAGCGAGTAAGGACAGAACACTCACTTCCACACATCCAAAATAAATGCCAATTACTAGTCATACTGGAGAAAAAGAGACTTCAGTCAGCATCTTCACCAGGGAAAAATCTATTTTGAATCCATTCATTCTATTTTATACATAAATAAAAGCATGTTAACAACTACAGTGATTCTCTAGTCTTAGATAATAAAATGGTTATTATATAACATAAAACACAGTAGCAGTAAGGGTCACATGACAAATCAGAAAATGTTATATTAAGAGTTAGTGCTCATCTAATTTTAATCGAGAGAGAGAGAGAGAGAGAGAGAGAGAGAGAGAGGATCAGGATTCCATGCTCACCTTGGGAGGAACAGGCCAGCCTCATCTCCAAATCCCAGGGAGTCACTCTGCCAGTGTCTATTTTTCAATACTTTATTATTTTTATTTTATGTGTATGAATGTATTGCCTGCATGCATGTCAGTGCACACATGTTGTGCAATGCCTTGGAGTCAGAAGAGGGAGCCAGATCCCCTGGAACTGGAGTTATGGATGGTTGTTAGCCGCCATGTGGGTGGGAAACAAGTCACTGCAAGAGCGGCTGGTGTTCTTAACCGCTGAGAGAGAGAGAGAGAGAGAGAGAGAGAGAGAGAGAGAGAGAGAGAGAGAAGCGGGTGCATTCTGTGTAGCACTCTTACCAAATGTACAATGGACTGAAAGTGAAACTGCCCCAGCAGAAGAAATGTCTGCATGCACCAAATAATAAGTGTGGGAGAAGGTCTAGTGTTTTTATTCAGACCAGTAATCTGTATCCATATTCAGTAGAAGAGCTGTAAAGAGAAGCGGTAGAAAAGAACTTCCTATGTGACTGTTAATACACTGATTCAAAGGATACTCACACAGCACTCTCCTATGCTGCCGTGTAATGAAGCCAGCAGCACATTCACAAAATTAAAACATTGGAGAAAAGAGGAAATGAAGAAGTTTTTTTGCTGTGTAATTCCATGTGTGAAATCACAACACAGTTAAGTAGTGATCTAATTTCTTTAAGGTTTGCGTAGACATAAAGCTATGTCTGAAAAAATTCACTCTGGGTCCTTGGATTACCACACCCAGGCAACATTTTTCTCCTGATCTCTCTGGTGCAAAGTGAGTGGGTTTCTGTAGTGTAACACTCTGAGCAGAGTGTGTACGTCTTATAAACGTTTCTTTAGTTGGAAAAGCATGTATTTTAAAAAGCAGGATGTGAGGTGAGGCAAAGCTTCTTTGGCCATGTTTGAACTGTTGTTCATGTCTCTACAAGATGAAGGTCATGGAGCCACTGCCTACATCATGGGCTGAAGGATGAAGCCTGAATATTAGTGTGATGAGTATTGTCAGTTCATTATAATATTCTGTAGAAAACTCCTGAATCTATTGATTCATTTATGTATTGTCTTTGCCTCTGGACAACTATATACATAGAAAAAAACATCTTTAAAAGGTCAATAAAGGACTGGTGAAGACTCAGTGTAATGGAATATTTTGTTTCCACATACCTGGAGTCCTCAGCATACCGAGATGTCTGGACATACTCACAGTAAGATGATTCATTGGAACTACTCAGCTAGACTTTTGAGGTTAGAAAAATATACTCATAACAATTGAAAGGTGCTTCATCAAGGCCTTTGGAGACGTCTTCAAAGCTGATGGCTGGGATGTAGAAGTTACCTCATGTAAGTGACCCTGTGATGCTGAGAAGGAGACAGAAAACACCCAGGATTCCATGCTCACCGTGGGAGGAACAGGCCAGCCTCATCTCCAAATCCCAGGGAGTCACTCTGCCAGTGTCTATTTTTCAATACTTTATTATTTTTATTTTATGTGTATGAATGTATTGCCTGCACGCATGTCAGTGCACACATGTTGTGCAATGCCTTGGAGTCAGAAGAGGGAGCCAGATCCCCTGGAACTGGAGTTATGGATGGTTGTTAGCCGCCATGTGGGTGCTGGGAATCAAACCCAGGTTCACTGCAAGAGCAGCCGGTGTTCTTAACCGCTGAGCCATCTCTCCAGCCTGCCAGTGTGTATTAATGGACAATTGTCTTCAGAGTCATAGGATTCTAACAGGAACATAAAGTGTACCCACATTTATCATATCAAGTAAAATGTAGTACTATCACCAATAAGTACTTCCTTTAAGGTTTTAAATGAAAACAGAAATGACAGTCTGAGTCACTGTTATAATCCTGTTTGTCTGGTACCTTCTGTAAATTAAGTGTTTATGGAGGACAAAGGCATTCCATTCATTGCCAAGACTTGGTATGAGAATACGCATAATGTACTGGTGGGCTCTGTGGAAGCCTGAAAAATGGGAAAATCAGGTTGTGGGTAAAGACAGTCACTTAAGTTTGTGCTCAATGGTGCTACGCCAGACACATTTAAAAATATTCAACCTACAATCAGTTTGTTTCCATAACTTGCCATCGCATCCTAAGCTTCTGGGATTACATAAAAATACAATATGGTGTCCATAGCTTATCCAATAGGTAACTGTCCTTGTAGAATTTAAACTATTTAGGTGCAATTGTAAACCCACACTGAAAAACAGGAAGAGGAAGAGCCCTGGGGCTTGCTAACCAGCCAGCCTGGCATGGTCAAAGAGTTCCAGTGAACGTGAACAATCTCTAAAGAAAGACTCCCAAGGTTTTCCTTTAACACAGACACTCACACAGACACACAGACACTCACAAGTGTATGTACAAACATACAAGCTCATACATGCCCAGACATACACATACACAAACACACAAAACAAAGTATCACTCAATTCATGATAAAATCATATACTTAATAATGCCTAGGTATAGTCACACTATCAATAATAAAGCAGAATCAGTTAAAAACATTTAAATACAAAAGACACACATAGGTAGAATCCAAAGATTAAGAAATCTTGCACTCCTTATATATTGAAGGGAAAAGGTAAATATGAGCACAGGATAAAGCTCTGTATTTGTGTCCTTCCCTGCCATGCCTAAACTCCTGGGCTCTGTTAACATCAGCAATTTAAAAGGGAACACATACCTTGAGGTTGGGCATAACACCAGAGTATCATTAAAACCAGAGGCGCAAATGAAGACACATTTGGTTCTGGTGAGTGTTGCTCAAAACTCATGATTACAACGACCCCTTCCCTTCAATGTTCTGAATACAGGTTCTACAGTTAAAGCAATCTCAGCAGTCAGCACGGCACTCACTTTTTGTTAGGACCCAATTCCTGCCTTTGATCAGAAATGTAGAAATTAAAATACAAAATATCTTAATCCAGAAGCAGGTTCAGTTCCTGGATTCCTTCCATGATAAGATCATTCTCATAGTCTGGTTATCTCTGTCACAATCAGGAAGCCAGTGTAGCAGCATCCGTACTACAAGTACTGAAAATTTAGACTATGATTCATGTAAATGATGTGGAGGAGGAATTCTGAGAGGCAATTGCTACAGTCTGAAAGCACATTCAAAGTCATGTTTTATTACTATTTGCAATATTCAACAATAGAAATCAGAAAGAATTCACTACATTACATTACCTACATCAGTGATTAGTACAAGGTGGGTTATACTTTTTCTCTTTAGTAGTTCAGCTTATGGCCCAGAAAATCTTCCATCCCTTAGACTGAATTTGCACTGAAACTGTTTTTAACCCGGAATCTCTTCTGCAGACATGAGCACTTACCAGACCTGCCTTCTCTGTCTCCTCTGCCTCCCAGACTCCATACAAATGTTCACCTGACTCCCCTACACACAACCTTCAGCTCAGTGTGAGGATCCTGACATGACAGCCAGCACTGTGGGAGAGAAACTTGTCGCAACCCTGAGATGAAGGTCTGTGACTCTGTGACCTCACCTCCCTTCAGAGCTGCAATTTTCATTTCACCTGTATTGACCATGGCAGCACAGGCTTTGGGAGTCAGGAACTTTTCTGAAACTTTTTTGATTTGCTAGTTGCCAAACCCAATTAGGAATTTCTTGTTAAAAAAAAAAAAAAGTGCGTTTAAGAGGCTGTTACAGCTTCATGATTCCTGAAGGTTGACATAGTCTCCTATGGAAGGTACTGGAAATATGGAGGTCTGGTGTTTGAGAGTCTTGTGGAGAGGTCTGGGAGATTTGCTAGTTGCCAAACCCAATTAGGAATTTCTTGTAAAAAAAAAAAAGTGTGTTTAAGAGGCTGTTACAGCTTCATGATTCCTTAAGGTTGACATAGTCTCCTATGGAAGATACTGGAAATATGGAGGTCTGGTGTTTGAGAGTCTTGTGGAGAGGTCTGGGAGTGTCACTGAGTTCCAGGCCATGTTCTGAGTGCGGCACTCTCCCCTTTGCCCGTTATTAGCTGTGTGTGGGTATTTTCCCCTTTGTGGCTGGGGTTCCCCACGTTGCTGTCTCAGAGATCTCAGTCCGCTCCCCCATAACTTCCTTGATCACCTTTTCCTTTTGTCTTACTGAACTTGGCTTTGTACTTTAACTCTTTCACCCCTTGGCCACTTGCAAAATCCTTTTGCTTTTATTCCTCTCTCTCTTCTCCCACGTCCCCTCTCTTCCTAATGCTCTGGGCTCTCTGAAGCACCTCCTCAAGCCTAATCTTACCTCTTAGGCCTCTTCCCATTCTCATCTGTCACACATCTATGCACTGTCACTGCGAAGTGGCTTTTTTTGAGGCCCTGTCGGTTGGAACGTTCACACAGATCAAGTTCTGTGCAAGTCAAATGGAGAAAATCAGTGGGAATTTA